AAAAAAATTGTTATTTTTATATATTACACATTTATATATATAATATAGATTATATGAATGTAAATATATACATGTAAATATTTTCAAAATATATACTGCATGTGTGTGTATTTATATATGCATAATAAATATACACAGTACCCACACACATATATTATGTAAACAAAAACTTTTATTTTGGATGCAATTAATCGCGATTAATTGTTTGACAGCACCAATATAAATATAAGGTCACTCATCACAATGAGTAAAACCAAAGAAATAGCTCTGATGTGCAACAAAAATGGTTGAGCTTCACAAAATAGAGCGTGGCTTTAAGAAAATAGCTAAGGCATTAAAAATTCCCATGTTCACCATCAGGCCAATAGTCAAGTCACCTTTATTTCCTTAGCGTTCTACACAATACAGACTGTGTCAAACCAGCATCACAGAGATAAACAGGAAATAGCAGAAGCAATTCTGGAAACTTATCTACGGAAACGGTTTACATTCTGCTGTAAAGCAGCTCTAAAAGACAGTACAGTAGTTTTATTATTTAGCTCAAGTCAGTTCAGATCAAAAACTGTGTGAAGTTAAACGATCAGCTATAGGCAGTTCTACAAAAAATAATAAGTTCCAATCAACTGGAGATGTTAAAAATCCCCCTGGAACTGGACATGTGTTTATGTTGTCTTAATGCACGGCAAGGAGGATCGTTTGAGTGGTCAAAGATTCTCCAAGGTCTTGTAAAATCAGAAATGTGAGTTGGGGTTAGCTGTTGTCTTGATGCCTATATGAGAGCCACAAACCGATTGAGCAAACAGACCTGTGAAGTGCTCCATGAACTCCTGTTCCAACTTCATGGCTCTGTCGTATGTCTTCCTGCCTTGTTCCTCTGTCAGTCTTTTATTCATCTCCCTGAGGAGAGAGCAAACAGTATTACAGCATACTTTTTATATTACAGTGCTTGCAGGGGACAGAAAAAACGTTTATGGATTAGTGATTCTTGCATACTAAACTACTTTGAGAAAAATAAATTTAACTGCACCCCAAAGTGTTTGACTGGGTAGTTTACAGAATATGACACAATGGCAAGTACGGTACACTGGTCATTGATAGCGTGACATTGTTTTCAACGGACAATAATCTTTGCAAATACTAGTTGGATTCCTTGTCTTTTACTCACATGATGTTCTCCATTGATTTTGGTTTGATGAAAATAGCGATGGGGTAAAGCACAGCAACTTGCAGTCTCTTTATGGCATTGCCTGATACATCTAGAATGCAATGTTTGCCCTGAGGAGAGCAAAGACAGTGTTTCCATACAGTAAGCAATAAGGCTGCATGTTATGCATTATAGTCCTGTGTTGTCAGCAGTTGTGCAGGTGTATCATGCCTATCGTGCCTATTTCTCCAGAAACAATACTAAGCTCTGTTCCTCAATAACACCTTATGTAAACATTGGGTAATGGCATTCAAATCTTTGCCTTGTACATGTAATGTTTGTAGACTTGGTGCTGGTAATAAAACACACTTCTTATGGGGAGAAATAAATCTGGATCTCACCTTTTCCGCCACCTCTCTGACAGACTGCACACTGGTGCCATACAGGTGACTGTTGTACTGGCCTGCCTCGATGAACTTGTGCTCCTGTATATCTCTCTCCATCTGCTCTCTGGACTCAACAAAGTGGTAGTCTCTCCCGTCCACCTCATAATCTCGCTTCGGCCTTGTTGTATCTGAGACAGAGAGCAGCATATGCTACAGGCTTAATTTCTGTTCTAAATCCATGGTTATAGCAGAATTAGCAAATGTAGTTTACAGGTGTTTGATGATTTGTAGTTTCAAATACAATATGTATACGTGTATATGCATAAAGCATTAAATCCTGATAGCTGCTGCTTCTGTCTATTCTGCCCTATGACTTTTCCAGTTTTTCAAGATTTACTCAATAAGGATTAGGAGGAGGATTTTTGAAAATATTTTTTACTCTCAATCTCTACCCGATTAAATGTTTTTAGAGCTTGTCATAACTAGAAAAATTAATATGTGGATTTGGCTTATTTTAATGCTTTTTTGGGGCTTAATTTAAATATTTTTAAGTGGTATTTTGCTTTGGCCGCCTGGTTAAGAACCACTGTCTTTTTTGTAAGCTATATCAGTACATGGGACTTCTTCTCTTATCTACTATCGACTGTTCAACAAACATGCTTACAGACCTGTTTGTTTGAATATAACATTCAGAAATATTTGAAAATGTGACATTTTCTAAATATAGAGAACATGGGGTTTTCTGTATTCTTAATGCACATTTTATTTAAACCTCACCATTAATGGTCTGAGTCCATTACATTTTGAAGGGCACAGCACCAACTTACTTTTAATTAAATAACAGCTACTCACAGTTTAATAAACTCACTAAACCATATAGTCAGATTCATTGTGCATCCCTATTAAACAGACCCCTGCGAATAATAATTTACATAAATTACAGGAAGAATTCATAAATTAAAATGTCAAAAAAAGAAAAGAAAAAGATATTCAATCATGTCAATGAAGTCTTAAATGCCTTTTTATATGACATGCTTGCAAACTACACTGTAATTTTCACTGTAGCAACTGTAATAATGTGTCCCTCATCATGTTATCTAATCAGTTCAAACAGTGTACAGATACTTACGAGGAACACAGGAACCAAATTTGTCAGGGAACTCCGAAATCAGGTCATCGTTTACTCTGTCTTTCATCGGACCCAAGATAATCACTGGTCGTGAGTAGTTCACTGTTGAAAGACCATTCATGAAATCAATTACATTCTCCTAAAAAGAATAATTTATGTGACTTATTAGATGAAATCTTATGGGTTAATGTTGCTGATACGGACAATCATTAGCATTTTACCTTCCTGCTGACAGACTGGCTCATAAGACAGCACATATTCCTCTTGACCACCTGATATATGAACACACACATACAGTTAAGCTTAAAAATATATATATTTTTGTACAATTCATCATTTTATGTTATCACTATGTTATCACATCCAGTCAAGCATATTAAGACCCTGAAATCGATGCAATGTTTTCTGCTCATGCATTATTATTAAATGTGTGAAATTGCAGAGACAGCTATGTGAGATCCCCCTGTGGCCACTAGATCCTGTGTGCTACACAAATGAATAGTGAAAAGCAATGGATTCCTCCGTCATGGTTGGTATGAGATTGTCATGATGATTAAAGTGGAGCTCTTTCTGTGGATCTCAGTAGGCCTGATCGCCCGCATGTGCACTATGAGTTAGATGCAGATACGTGCTGTAAATTAATGAAAACTGTTCTTCAAAGTTAGGGGCAGAATTCCTAAGGGCCTGTGACATGCTAGTGCTGTTTACCGCATCAAAGTGTAGCATATTGCATACTTAAAATACAAAATATTAAGCATTTATTCCAAAGAAATAGAATTAACTGGCTGTTTTGTTAGTTCTTCACATGTATGAGAGATCACAAAGGCAA